AACTGTGAGGGTTGGGGTAGGTGTAGACGTTAATAACTGAGGGTTGGGTTTAGCGTTGGGTTGGTATAGACGTTAATAACTGTGAGGGTTGGGGTAGGTGTAGACATTAATAACAGTCAGGGTTGGGTTTAGGGTTGGAGTAAGTGTAGATGCTAATAACTGTGAGGGTTAGGTATAGAGTTGGGGTACATGTTGATGTTAAAAACTGAGGTTTGGGTTAAGGGTGGGTGTAGACATTATGAGGGTTCGGTATAGAGTTGGAGAAGGTGTAAACGTAAACAACTGTGAGGGTTAGGTTTAGGGTAGGTGTAGATGTTAATAACTGTGAGGGTTTGCTTTAGGGTTGGGGTAGGTGTATACGTTAATAACTCTGGTGGTTGTGGGAGATGTAGATGTTAATAACACTATGTAATGGGTCATTTAATATTTATTCAAACTAATTCTCATTTCTAGCAAAATCCACTCACACATGCACATCCACTAACTATTTGATCTGATCCAGTACACCATAATGCGACAGGTTGCAGCGAGGACACTCATTAATTTCATGATCAGGATTGGACAGCTCTGCTCTAAATCACATGCGAACAGATGAGGGTTCAAGAATTCACAGGAGATCAGCAGTTGAGGATATTCAGACGAGGAGGCTGTTTTCAAAAGCAAGATGTTCAGATGAAACATTACCAAAACAAACTTTTGTATTATGATTTAGAATAATGTGCAGTGACGAATCCTCCACAGCAAGACTAAGCATGAATGCATTAAAGCAAATAGGGGCAATTTTGCATTCATGTTAAATTCAGGCTCCAGCAGAGACAATATATGGATATTATCCGTATTGTCAGTAAAATCACCCACCAGAGAATTGTGCTTTGAAAGGAAATGAAACAGTGTGAAAATGCTGCTTTTTCATTCAGCTCAGGTTCACAGGAGAGGCAGGCTGAAACTTGTGATCGAGCAGGTTAATATAAGGCTCTCCAGCAGCCCAGCAGACTAATATAAATCTAGTCAAAATGGGTAAATTGTGCCATTTTTATGTTCACATCGCAAACAAGGTTATGGCGAGATATGAAATATTGCTCCTTTGAGTCTGAGGATTTGTTTTGTATTCATTTGTAAGAAAAAAACTCTTTTGAATGTGTTTGCAAGTGGCTTTTTAAGAAACACATTTGGCCCTGACACTCCTGCCCTCCGGCTTTTCATTTCACCAGTCTAATAGTATTTTCAGCTTTCGGAGACGAAACGCACTGGTACTATTAGTCGAGCCACTGACATTTACCCCACAGCCACCTCTTTAAGCACAATGATTCATTTAATAATTCATGGCCAATATTGTTGACTTAAAACACATGATATTTGCCCTGTAGAACGTTTGCTTTGACATGCACACAAACATTTCAATAAGTAAAGCAGAGTTCTGTACAGCAGCATATTAAAGATGCCATTGATTCAACAAGTTCACTGATATCGCATGTACCTTAGGTAAGTTAAAACAATCTCAAATGGTTTTATATGAAATTAAAATGAAGTTTTTTAGATGTTAGCTTCAGTCTGTTTCTATTAGCTAGTGTGCACCAAAATAGTGGCAAAGTTTTGTTCGATGGCACTTTAAGCAATTCAATTCAGAGTTCAGATATCCATCCTCTGCTGTAGTGTGACTGTCATGCAAAAAAAAAATGTAATCAAACCAAGATTTCACATAGAAACGCTGATTTTGAATGAGCTGATCTGTCCACATGATCCCAGTGAATTGCAGAGTGGAAACGTCCGTACAGCTATCAGAGTCTTCCAG